TACTGCACATTTACATCCTTCATTAGGCATCTTACTGCACATTTACATCCTTCATTAGGCATCTTACTGCACATTTACATCCTTCATTAGGCATCTTACTGCACAATTACATCTTTCATTAGGCATCATACTGCACAATTACATCCTTTGTTAGGCGTCTTACTGCACATTTACATCCTTCATTAGGCATTGTACTGCACAATTACATCCTTTGTTAGGCGTCTTACTGCACATTTACATCCTTCATTAGCCGTCTTACTGCACATTTACATCCTTCATTAGCCGTCTTACAGCACATTTACATCCTTCATTAGCCGTCTTACAGCACATTTACATCCTTCGCTAGGCTTCTCACTGTGCATTTTCATCCTTCATTTTGCATCTTACTGCACGTTTCTGTCCTTTGTTAGGCTCTTCACTGCTTGTTTGCATCCAACGTTTCCATCCTTAGTTAGTTTCCTGATAGGTATCTCAATGCTCTGTCCTGCTGCGATCTTCATTGTTTAAATCCCCCGCTGTGTTTTGCCGCTTGCCGCAGGTGGATTTCGCCTTCACCGTCTGGCAGAGCTTTCCGGAGAGAATCGTGGGGTATCCGGCTCGCAGCCATTACTGGGAGGCCGCTAAGCAGCGGTGGGCTTACACGTCCAAGTGGACCAACGACTACTCCATGGTACTCACCGGAGCTGCAATCTACCACAAGTGAGTAGCACGCAATTTAGCGACATGTTAGAAGACTAATGGAAATGCGATTCCTGCACCCTGTCTGACCCCCGTGTCCCTCCCGGCAGATACTATCACTACCTGTACACCTACTACCTGCCACCCAGTCTGAGAAGCATGGTGGACCAGCTGGCCAACTGCGAGGACATCCTCATGAATTTCCTGGTGTCCTCTGTCACCAGGCTGCCTCCCATCAAGGTGACGCAGAAGAAGCAGTACAAGGAGACCATGATGAGCCAGGTAGGCAGCTGGAGTCAGTCTCACAAGTTGCAGACGCCCACGAACGGGTCGCTAATTCTGCTTCCACACTGAGCTTACTCCTTTGCTGCATTCACCAGTTCAGAATGACAGTAGCTAGAAGTCCTTTTTTGATTAACCGTGCCAGAGGCTGGGCTTCAATGGGCTTTATCACAGCACCTGAAACCCGCGCTGGTGTCTATGCAGCGGTTCAGGCTTCTTACTGTTTTTTAGTGATTTCACCTTACCATTCATACACTGGACTCTGTCTCTCAGAGCCCAGAGCTTCTCTCTTCCTCTGATCCCATCTTTCCTGGCGCTCGCCTACAAGCGGTGTCCTCCTGCTTCCGCAGATGCTCTCTCTTCCTCGCGGCCGTCGCTGTTTTTCTTTCTGCGATCTTCTGCCTAGTGGAGCTTGAATCTGCGCTTCAGGCAGGAGGGAGGGGAGTTAAAGCACAGCACAGACGCCGGTTCCTTTACAAATGGGGAGCGCCGGCTTGTTCCATATTTTCCCCGAGTGGCTGTTTGTGCTGATCTTATATGAATCCGAATCTTCATTAACCCCAGACGTGTGGTGCGAGACAACTTATATTCTTGTGTGTGATATTAATGGATCATTCTATGTTTGTTACAAATGTTTAAATGCAGAAACATGTAACTTTGAATGTGTCAAATTTTTGCCCAGTTTTGTGTCTAGCACAGGTTGTCTTTTATATTATAAGGGATAGTAAAATGTGAACAGAACGACCTAGATAGAAAGATAGCAGAGGAGCAGAACGATGTAGAGCTGCAATCCCTGTTTGCCGTTTGTCTCTCTGCAGGCTTCTCGGGCCTCGCACTGGGCCGACCCGGACCACTTCGCCCAGCGTCAGACCTGCATGAACAAATTCGCCAGCTGGTTTGGCACCATGCCCCTGCTCCGCTCCCAGATGAGGCTGGACCCGCTTCTCTTTAAGGACCAGGTCTCCATCTTACGCAAAAAGTACCGGGACATCGAGAGGCCCTGACTGTGTTTCCGGGGACCCAGGCGGATGGACGGGGACGGAGATCCCAGGGGCCCCAATGGCTGGAGTGCCGACACGTTCAACTTCACTACTTATAGATTATAATTTCCAGCTCAAACGCGTGGACGACAGCGACAGCCCCCCCAGTCTGACAGCGCCCTGCTCTGTGTGACTATGCACACTTAACTGTACATCACAGAGCTGCAATTTCTGCTTCACCATCTCCCTCCAAGCCCTGGCAGCACCTTGAAGCCCTGGAGACTCACCCCAGACACAAGGACGACCAGGCATCCACCGTGCCTGAAAAGCATCCAAAAGTAATGATTCCCTGAGTGCAGATGGAGCACATGGATCTGGATAAGCCCTCTTTATTTGTGGCTGTTTGTACTTGTTTACATATTAAATTATTTGTAGGTTTTCTATTGATATTTGTTGTTGATTCTGGAAACATTTATACCAGTGTTTCCCTATCCGGTCCTCAGGGACCCACAGACAGCCCATGTTTTTGCCTCAGTAGGGAGCTGGGAGGGAGCAAAAATGTGGACTGTAAGGCAGGGAGCTGGGAGTGAGCAAAAATGTTGATCACAAAAAATGGGGATTTGTGGGTCCCAGAGCACTGTGTTGGGAAACACTGATTTAGACCGTCTAATTTGCAAGAACCACCAGTAACAAAGTCACCTGACAGTATTAAAGGTGAAACAGTGGGAAATGAATGTGACGATACTCCCGGCATTTACCTGGGTGAGAGTATATGTGTAAGATTCCTTCTGCTATGCTCAGCATTTCACATCATCTGTAACACGTGACCGCAGCCCCGCCCCCCTCTCCTCCAGCCAATCACATGACTGGCAACCTCATCTCTTCAGTTTGTGAAGCCACTCTGGTCTCAGCTCAAATTAATGCATTCCATGAAAATGAAAATGAAAACATCCTGTTACTACTTTCCCAATTCTTGTAATTCTAACATCTTTTCTGAAATCGATAATGAAAAAGATGATATGGAGAATTGGGAATTAAACAGATCAATAGTTGAGTCGAAATGTACAAGCACCGCCCTGAAGCTGAAGCTGAGATGTTGGCTTTTGATCAGCTTGATGAGCACAGTGAGAGTCCCCTTGCGCCTTCTTGGTGATGTGGGTCACCTCCGCATCGGCACTGAGTCACGCTGAGGAGCATCGCAGAGCCGGTTAAGCTGTTGGGCTCCTACAGAGGGAGCATGAAGCTGTATTACCACGATTTACCATCATAGCTCAGTGGGTTGAGGGTTCAAATCCCAGCTCCTCTCTCAGTGGGCGGAGTTTGCATGTGCTCCCGTCAAGCATGCCGGTAGGCGTGTGCCCTGTGCTGACTGGGCCGGGCTCCAAGCCCCTCACCCCCCAGCCCGACCCTGACCTGGTGGACAGATTACTGCCAAATGACTGGAATAAAACTCTGTCACTGCACAATTTTAGCATTTATTTCCAGAGACGTGACTCTGGTGTCCTGTTATTTTTGTAGTGAATAGAAATGGCAGAGTGGGGGCGCTGTTAGACCTTAGTCTTACGCACTTGAAGCTCTGTCTGTGTGTGTAGCTCGTTGGGAGCATTAGCTGTGAGCCAAGCGCAGAGAAATACCACGGGCATTGCTCCTCTGTTACTCCTGTAAGTAGGGCTGTCTTCACAGGTTAGCAAAACAGCAACTGACACCACAAACATCACTGAAAATCTCACACTTTGTCCATTGAAACCTTCACTAAATCTGCTACAATCATTTAACAAAGACAGTGGGAACATGTCCACACACCTATGTAATTACTTTATTTGTCAGTTTCAAACTCCAGTTAAAATATGCAGGAACTATTTTAAAACTACCTGGCCCAGTTTACTATCATCCTCAATTATTTCTGTGCATTGTCAAAAAGAGATACATCCTTTCAAATTATAATTAACAAGCTAAAATTACTTTAGTGGCTGCATCATTAAATGTAGAAAATAGCAAGGCACAATCTTTGATTAACTGGAAGCTTAGCTTGATATGGATGACTGTCATTTCAGTTTTCCTCATTCAGCAGTAATATCAAGCCTGTTTGAATGTATACTGGTGATCCATCCATCCATCCATCCATCCATTTTCCACCACTTATCCGGGGTCGGGTCTCAGGAGCAGCAGTCTAAGCAGAGATGCCCAGACCTCCCTCTCACCAGCCACCTCCTCCAGCTCCTCCGGGAGAATACCAAGGTTTTTCTGGGCCAGCTGAGACATATAATCTCTCCAGCATGTCCTGGGTCTGCCCCAGGGCCTCCTCCCAGTTAGACATGCCTGAAACACTTCCCCAGAGAACCGTCCAGGAGGCATCTTAGATAGATGCCCGAACCACCTCAACTGGCTCCTTTCGATGTGGAGGAGCAGCGGCTCTACATTGAGCCCCTCCTGAAGGTCTGAGCTCCTCATCCTGTCTCTAAGGCTGAGCCCAGCCACCCTGCGGAGGAAGCTCATTTCGGCCGCTTGTATCTGCGATCTCATTCTTTCAGTCACTACCCAGAGCTCATGACCATATGTGAGGCTAGGAACGTAGATCGACCGGTAAATTGAGAGCTTTGCCTTCTGGCTCAGCTCCTTCTTCACCAAAACAGAACGGTACAGCATCCGCATGAATGTGTACTGTACGTGACAAACTCACGGCCAGTTAGAACACATTTCAGTTCATTTGAACCTGCAGGGAAATGCATTTACGGCATGTAAATTTTGTTTTGTGCACTTCATTGAGAAACTGTTGCATTTTCATGATCAGGCCAGGATTAAATCATCTCAGTGGCACAGATTGCTGCAGCTGCACAGACAGGCTGTGATGGAAACTCTGTTAAGCCTTCAGTCACGTCAGCTTCCAGGAAATAAGCTGGAGCAACCTGTCGCTCTCCACTGTCGTGCTGCACGTTGTGGAGACACATTGTCTGTCTGACTGTCTGTCTGTCTGGAGAGTGGTTGATATTATGCAGGGTGACCAAAATTTGCTAGATTGCATGTCTGTCCTGGCTTACGTACCATGTTTCTTTGTATGTCTGGTTTCTCTGCCTAATTCGGTCAAATTCCAGTTTTATTAATCATGTCTGGGAATGGTGGTAATATACTGTGTTTCTGCACAGTTAGTAGTGCTGGGGTAACCTGCAAAAACTGAAAGGCAAAAGTAACAGACCCCTTGTATTGCTGGACTTAGAAATGAGAGGAGTAGCTGAGCTTGTCTACAGAGAAAGATTCATGGGCTGGAAGAGAGGGAAATTAGCCTTTTTGTATTCTTTCCCAAAAAGTATAACTACAGGAAAAATGTCCTTGGGTGTGTTTCCATAAAATGCTGTCACCCATGTGACACTGGGTGTCCTTGTGGTAGATGTTACGCGTTTCCAGTTTCTGTGCCTTTTAGTCAAAGACATGTCATCTTCTCATTTAGACATTCCTTTTGTTGTTTTCTCAGCATTTTCTTTCACTTACCTTCTAAAACACTGGAATTTTATGGCACTTGTACCTGATCTCCTGCCTCCTCCTGTAGGGAAACAGACAACTTCCCATCCTGAATCCTTGTCTTTTCAAATAATTGTAGATATAAACGCCACAGTGAGGATCTTGTTATTACACCCGCATCTACTTAGTCCTTGTAATTCATTTTTTAGCCATAGAAAAAAAGGGAAGTAACATTTTGTATGGATTTTTATAAAAAAAAGAAAAGTATATTTGACATGCCTCTTTGTCTTTATTCATACCAAATGTCATGCTGAAATATTTATGATTATTTTTTTCTCAGTCAACACGTTATAAATTCATGTCTGTGTAAATGTTAATTGGGCTCTTAGATAGCATTTATTGACCTTATCAGTTATCAGAACTTGCTTTATTTTCAGACAGAAATTAACACATCACGCTGCATTGTCTTGCTCAGCAGGACAGCGCTGTCTCTCACCGATGGTCACATATTCAGCCAGTCCACAATTACCAGAAGCTCACTCCACTGAGAGGCGTAGCCTGGGCCGGCAGCCGTGATATCAACATGTATCAATCATCTTAAGCCACTTACCTGACATTGATGAACCATCCTCACCTGGAATTTAAATGACTTCCTGCTGTTCTTCTTGTTGTTCAGCTCCGTGGTCTCCATGGACAGTGATTAGGTCCTGGCTTACTGAGAGGCAGAGTCTAACAGGCCCATACTGTGTGAATCCCCTCGGAGAGCTTCACACGTACAGACTGGGTGTCATCATAGTTGGCCATACGACTTAGTCTATTACCGAATGCCCTGAATTTCGGCTTTAATGTCCTACGACCAAATAAATACTGATGTGTGTCAAATATATACTCTGATGTGTGTGCATGATTAGCAAAGTGCAAGCAAGGAGAGCAGAGGGGGGATGGTGCATGGTCCACATGTGCACTCAGAGGCTGCATATTTTAGTCTCGCATTTCCTTAATGCACCTTAAGGACTATTTTCGGCTGACATTTTTAAAGATCCCTGCGACTCTGACCGGGAGAAGCAGATAGAAGATGGATGGGAGGGTGTTAAAAGTCAGCAGAAGCTCCTAGTAGGTTCTTGTCGAACTTATCTTCTAACAATCCACCTGTTTTCTAGAAGCACCGATACCATGGATGGAGCCTGGGGCTTATCCCGGGAAGAGCCATGCGACAGGCGACTCTGCACTTACCCCGCTCTGCAGATTTAACAGTGCCGAATGATCAGACTGTACTCTCATTGTATGCATATTTTACAGTGACCAGATTCAAAATGAATCATGCAATAGACTAGTAATTTTGCTCACTGCAATAACAACTGCATTATTGTGGTTTATTTCTCCGCTGACCCTTGGAGCCAAATAATTACCTCTTCACTTTCAACAAAGAGAAGGACTCTGACTTTTCATGGGAAGAGTTTGAGAAAACTTCCATTGTTTAATGGTACGTTGCGACTTTGCTGGAGACCAGTAGTGAAACTACAGCTGCAGGTGGTATGTCAGTATTATCTGTAATGTGTGAAAGAGCCAAACTGCCCATATGTCACAGGAAACGTGTCTCACAGACTCTGAGGCCAAAGGCTGAAGGGAGTCCATCACGACTCGCTAAGTGGGGGCTGCCAAAATTTTGGGAGCTTTTCCCCGGCTCCTTTCAGTCCCTTCACACACAAAGTACAGGCACAGGGCTGAGAAGTTGTTTGGCCAACTAGAAATGGACAAAAATCCATGCAGTCACGACCTTTCTATATTGTTTGTGACGTGTGCTTTAAATATGTCAATTTCCTTGGGCAGCTGACCCTTGAATGTCCTTAAGAACAAAACCTTCCCCATCCTCCCAGGTCCTGGGGGAGAACCATCGGCATTCTGGGAACAGTCCCAGAGGGCTGACCAACACAGAGGCAGGCTCCGGCTCAAGTTAACCAATGAAAAGAAAATTTATATCTATATCTGGGTTATTTTGTTTAAATTTAAATAATTTATCTAAAAATCAACACGTCAAATATGTTGAAGGGTCAGTGGACAGATTTAACATTTCAAGGTTTAAGATTTAATAATTGACATATGATAGTCTTCAATTTTATATTAAATATATAGTATTTTCCACAATGCAAGTACTCTCTTCCTTTGTCAATTGAAGATATTGACTGTGATGACGAGCCTGAACGTCTGGCTGAATGTTGTGAAGAAAAAAAAGTCAGCAGGTGACAATCTGCCCAGTTACTTGTAATTAGGTAGCTTCACTGTAGGCTTAACGTGTACAACCGCATTATCCATTCATGCATTAGGAGGATAGATAAAGAATGTATTTCTTATTCAGGGGATGCTTTCGCCAGTCCATTGCAGCCAGAATAATTTACTGTGCCGAGGTCTGCTGGAGGGGCAGCGTTATAGAAAGCAGGGCCGTCCCTAGACAGCCTGGAGCCCATTGCTGATAGGATGACAGCAAAGGTACTGGCCGCCTTCTTCATGATGTTACACCCATGAGTGTGGGCAGCCATCGGCTCATCCCGCCAACTTGTGCCAAGAATCACCACTGGGATTCCCTTCTCCCAGCGGCCATCTGACTGCATAATGCCTCCGCTGAACAGACCCACACTCATTCCTGCCAACTGTAATTGGACAGTATTCAGAGTCAATGCCCAGGCTAGGTAAAACCAGGCACATTTGCCCTGTTATTGCCACTGGTACCATAATCATGATTTTTCCCTTGGTATATTTTGTACTGGGCAAAATCGTCAATCATAATCAACCGGTTGGCCACCACTATCCATTAATAATCTCTTGTGGTTGACCTAGAAACATCTCAAGATTATATAAGACCAATCCACTGGGAAAATTCCTGATGGCCAGTCTGCACCTCACAATTTTGTCAATGTGTCTTCTGCATTTGCCCTGTCTATCAATGCACTTTATGCATATAGATGGGATGAGTCAACATTGTTGAATATTTGAGAATGTGTATATAAATTGAGGGAAAAAATGTGTAATGAATCATGGTGGCATGGTGGTGCAGTGGTTAGCACTGTTGTGACTGTGCCCTGCGATGGGTTGGCACCCCATCCTGAGTTGTTCCCTGCCTTGTGCCTGTAGCTACGGGGATAAGCTCCAAACCCCAACGATCCTGAATAGGACAAGCAGCTACAGAAAATGGATGAATAATAATTGAGCCATTTTAAATATGATTTAGCAGCAATGTAATGAGTTGTCATCTTTCGGTCCTCTAATAAGTTTGTGGTTTATGCATTCTGAAGTTTTCCGCAGCTGTTTTTGCGTGAGCTCTGCATGTGCACTTTGGGCCAGTCATGATCATTTTCATCCTTGCTCATCATAGTGTGATGCGTTTGTAAGAAATTTAACAAAAATGAATGAGGCAAACAACCAAAAAAGAACTGGGGAGCGTTCCACGAGGAAGGATTTTTTTGCTTAGCCGGATAGCTTGTTGGATTTAAGGTAGTTTGGACTAAACACAAGCGAAGAGAAAAAGTCTGTCTAACTCAGACTACCTCAAATCTGATAAGCTATCCAGCTAAATAAATCTCATTTTGTACAGAAATAAAGAAATATTTCCATCCCCACTCCATACGCATTTCTCCCTGTGTGTGGTTGGGGTGGGGTTATTCGAATATTAATAGAATCATGACAGGCGAAATTCAATTAGTAATTCTGCCTGAAATGCCCATACCTAATATGTAGGACTGTGATACGTGGAACATTATTTCACTTCACCTTATGCAGTGTACTGAATATGCCTGGTGTGACAAAACAGCTCTGCATGACTTTGCTTGGCATACTTTCATCAACAGTCCTGCTATTCCATCTAACCATCTATCTATCTGTCACTGATGACCTTGTGCTCATGCACCTAGTTTTATGCCCTACCGCTTCCGTAAGTTCCAAGAGTCTCCTGCACCCTGACGGTGTCCAAATTCAGGAGCTGCATCCTCCTCTTGCCTAGTTGCGAAGAATCCGCCGTTGGATTGCGCTGACCTTTGAAGGATGTAGGCTACAAAGGCTACGTAGACCACGTCCTTCAAAGGATGCAGCCCCCAAATTTGAACAAAGCCAAAGGCTATGCCTCTGTAGACTGCTTTCTTCGAAGGATGCAGCCCCTGATTTCGGACACAGCTCCTGATACCTGTGAACGATGCGCAATGTCCTGGAAATTTGTCGGCAACAAGAACTTTTTCTGCTGCAACTCTGCCCCACCCAGTAACAGCTGCCGGTGCCCCAAAAGTCAACCAGCCAGCACTAGGCTTTCTAATAGGCCTAACATCATACCGGCCAGCAACAATGCTGAGCCATACAGCTATTTCAGCTTGTTCACATTCAAACTCAAAATGGATTCTTTTAAAATGTAGATTAGTTAGAATAGTGTAATCATTTAATAGGCAAGGACACACAAACACAATCTATTTATATCTAAAAACATTAAAATATTTTAAAATATCATTAATTTTATTTTACTATTAAGACAGCAGAAGTAACACCATTTGCTCTACTACAGCAGACCGACATTTGACTGTCAGCCAAGGTCCCACTATTAACAATTTTTGCATAACTGGGTATCAAAGACACTTTATTGAGTTGGATTCGGATGGATAAAAGCGTGATGTGTTTAAGATATACTTTATCGTGCCCATGGATTCACACTGGGGGGGGAGGGGACAAAGCTGTGATTATAATATATATTGGGGGGCACATTGTGAGCACATTGGAATACTGGAATATGAATATACCATAATTACGGCCTTGTATTGTACTAGTTCATATGCCATATACATTATATGTGTTATTGTCTCTTGCTGGCACATTAGCTTCCAAACATGCGACGTCGCGTGGAAACGTGCGCCGGTCGCCGTCAGTCACGGGAGAAACCGAAGCCCCGCCTACCGGATGCCGGAATTTTGACCGTAAACATCCGGTGGGTTTGAAAGGCGCCTGGGCGGGAGGAAGGAGAAACAGCTAGGGCGCCATCTTGTTTGTTTTAGTCAGTCGGTCGTGGAGGAGGGGCTGCAGGCGGCCAGCTAGAAGACGGCCTCCATAAAGGGAGAGAAAGCCATCGCGGTTTAAGTGGTAAGTGGAGTAAATTAAACGCACTTTGCAGCGTCGCGTTCGCAGCCGTATCTCGTCCTTTAACTCCCGTTGTGTTGTTTCGTGGCCAGCGCTCCGAACACTCGACCTAAGTTCGTCTCGTACTTTACAAACTTGAGTGCATTTGCGCGACGTCCGCGGGCTCCGGTGCGTTTGCTGGCCGGCTGGCGATGAGCGTCGTGCGTTTCTGCGCCAAACTCTCAGCTGTGTGAGCTCGCTGGTTCGGTCGGTCCCGTCCGGTCTGGTCCGGACAGGCTGTTACTCCTAACTCGGCTGAATGGCGAGCGGGCTCCCCCCTCAGTCGACAGTGACAGTTGCTGAGAACGGCCCGCCTCTTGGTTACCAGCATGCTGGTAGTTAACTAGTTAACCAGGCGCCAGAAATGTGTAGCGAACTGGGTTTCGCTGATTATGGGACCGGTGCCGGTTCGGTATGACGGGGATACCAGTGTGTAACTCCCCTTATGTGTTTGTGTGTGACCTGGCGGTGTAAGCCAACCCCCCCCCCCCCCACCGCCGTGCGTATGATTTACATGTAACATTTACATCACATTTATTTAGTAGATGCTTGTATCCAAAATGAGTTAGCCAGGCCTTGGAGCAGTTGGAGGTTAAAGGTGGCAGTACCCCTTCCCCCGTAATTGTGCTACCTGGCTGTGTGTGTTTTGTGTGTGAGAGAGAGACTTTTCCATATTATTCATGGTGCCCCCCCCTCCTGTGTGTGTTTTGCACACCCCTCATCCCTCCTCCCCCCTGTGTGTGTGTGTGTTGTGGACAGTTTTTGCTGTGTGTGTGCGTATGAGAGAAAGTAAGTGTCTTTGCCATGTTATACATGGTCCCTACCGTGTGTGTATGTTGCACAGAGTTTTTTTTGGTATGTATACCTTTGCAGAGTAACACATGGTACTGTGTGTGTCAGACTTACCTGCAGAAATACCTGCAGTAGTAACCTTTCAGCCTTTAACCCTGGCTGTTCGGTTCTGCGTACAGAGCCATGTTGCACAGTGTTTCTTTTGGATACTCACTCACTCCGTGCTGGTCACCAGGCCGTGCTGTTCTCTGCCCTCTGCTTTTTGTTTTTCCTCTGTGTGTACCGGTGTCGAGTAGGCATGTTCCTCGCTTTGTTTTTGGGCTAGCACTCTGTCTGGACTGGCTCCCATGTTTGTGCTTTATTAAAGACCCTTTTGCACTGGGAAATGTCATTCTTAAAGCAGGTGAAGAAAGTGTATCAGCTCTGTATTGAAGATATTCTTAAAGAAGCACCACATTAATGCTATTGAGTCCACGAGTATCAGCGAAGTGATGCTCTCGGGCACCATATCGTCACCTAGCTCTCAGCATAAACTCCCTCATTATAATCCCGATTTCTTCTTGGCTGAATAAAAGAAGCCTGAGGTTTCAGCCGTACTTCAGCTAGCGTCTGTTGAAAGGAGATTAGACGGCAGCATATTTCACCAGATGTGTTCAGCCCCTGAATTATTGTCGACAATGGATCGTTTTTGTCACACTGGAAACCTGCAGAATTTTTAACAGGCCCCTGCTAGAAGATGATATTTGTAGGGAAGTATTTCTTCATTCTCTGATTAGCTCTCCTGCCACAGACATGGTCACAGCACAGAATCAGTCTCTCTATGGAGCTTTAATGGGGGATGGTAGTGAATTTTTTCTGGTTTAACCTGGATCTTCCCAGGAGTTTTTTTTTCTTTGTCTTGCAATTAATTTTTTCCCCCTCTTTATAGAACAGCGAGTTAAACCAAATAGCAAGGATAGCTTGACTGTCTACTGACTGCTTCCAGGTTTTTCATTGTAGTATAACATGCTTTAAAATATTCCCCATTTAATATCTGTTTTTGCAACACTTTGGATAGAACCAAGAAACACAAGTATAAAACTTGCTGGTTTGATTTTTGGTTGACTCCTGAAAGCTATTCTTCAGAAAAGCATGTGATTTATGAGACTGTTGATAGTAAAACTAAGGCAGACACTTTTTAAAGTATTATAGGAGTTGCACAGGAGAAAGTCGACATCTTGCATATTGATTTCAGTAAGGCGCCTTTTTGATATTCATGAAAGCTTAAATATACTAATATTTCTCCCTTCTCCCTGAGCATGCCGCCCCATAACCTGTCCTCCCTCGTACCTCTGCAGGTTTGGCTGCCTGTCTGTGAACAGCAGCTGGGATCATGTTCTACGCCCACTTTGTCCTCAGCAAGCGTGGGCCGCTGGCCAAAATCTGGCTGGCGGCCCACTGGGACAAGAAGCTGACCAAGGCACACGTGTTTGAGTGCAATCTGGAAAGCAGCGTAGAAAGCATCATCTCGCCCAAGGTGATCTGCTGCTTATTCACATTTAAACCCTGCCGAGTCATGGAAACATGAGTGGTGCTGCTCAAACTCGGCCCCATCAGTTGTGACACGCCGACTTTTCCTTGTTTAATAACAGGTAAAGATGGCGCTGCGCACGTCCGGCCACCTGCTTCTCGGGGTGGTGCGGATCTACCACAGGAAAGCCAAATACCTGCTGGCCGATTGTAACGAGGCCTTCATCAAGATCAAGATGGCTTTCCGTCCAGGTAATGTCTCCTTCCACCTCTCTGTCCAGCTGCAGTGTTTTCCTTTGTATATTTGCTTATTTAATGGGTGCTTTTGTCCAGCGTAGCTCCATTAGATACAGTACATGTGAGTGTATTTTCGTTGCCAGGCTCTAGGCAACGGGGCCTATTCTCATGCTTAAAGCTGTCATTTTTGTTTTGAGTCCATATTCTTAACTGTTTTATCATTGGCCACTTAAGATGATGATGTTGGAAACGGGTTAACCCCACCCTGGCTGAAGAATAAGAAACTTGTATAATTTGTGGTTTTAATCTCATGATTTATGCCATTTGTCTTGGTCAGGTTTTATTTTAATGATTTCTGAAGAAGTAAAATCATACCATTATCACAATTATTTTTACTCTTGAATATACAGACACTCCTCACTTAATGACCGAGTTCTGTTCCCATAACTAGGTCGTTAAGCGAACTGGCCGATTAATTGCGTAGCTGCCTGTTATCGATATTTCAGGCGTACTATACTGCTAGCGGGTTTGTGTCGACCGTTTTTAGATTATGTTTTAATGTCACCTTTGCATCATTTGTAATTTGTAGCATTTTTAGTATACAGCAAAACCTCGGATTGCGAGTAACTTGGTCTGCGAGTGTTTTGCAAGACGAGCAAAAATTAATTAATTTTTAACTTGATAAGCAAGCAAGGTCTTGCATACGTATTACATATACACTTTGTCTGCCTAGCATCACGTAATCACAAATGAGCCGATGGTTCTTCTCTCTATCTCGCTGCGGGATTGTGGGTAATCGTTTCCCATGCTCGGTCTCAGTCGGTGTCCCTCACTCATATAGTCAATTTAGTAGAAAAGCACCACCCGAATAAAGGCGTAACAGTGCGAGCGATGAATCTGTTTAACCACAATGCAAATTCGCTTTGATATACGAGGTCTTTAGATTACAAGCACGATTCCGGAAACAAATTATGCTCGCAAACCAAGGTACCACTGTATTTATAAATGTTTATACACTAATGTGCAGTATACTGTAATAGAATAGAGAGCTGTCATACATTACTAAGGGTTGCATACTGTAAATACAGGTGATCGTTTATTTTTATTCTGAATAAAGAAAAGGTTTAAAGGAAACTCCAACTTGATACCTTTGTTTTAATTTGCGTATCTCTGTTTCATTAATTTGGGCAATAAAAGTTTCCACTATTCCTCCGTCCATGCTTGCCGGCTCACCGGTGATCAGATTATGCAGGTTGAATCGACAATACAAAGATTATAGATATAATATGTAGTTTTGGAGATTGCAAACGCTAGTGTAGTAAATACTGACTGACTGGGAATAAGACTGAGATGCTTGGTTCTGAGACCCCTGTGTACAACACTGACTAGTCGGAGAGCTGGTTGGTAAGTCTGCAGTCGTTAAAGAGGTAGGTCAAGTGAGGAGTGTCTGTATGCCGCTTAAGTGTTTTGAGAGTTGATTGTTTCAAGTGCTGTAGCACATCTGTGCCATTGGGGGCAGCACAGCTTATTTGGTCTTTGTATGTCTGCATCTGCTGGTTTTGAGTAGTGTTTTGCCTGTTGGTAAATGATGGACATGCCTCTCAGGTGTGGTGGATTTGCCGGAGGAGAACCGGGAGGCCGCCTACAACGCCATCACCCTTCCAGAGGAATTCCACGACTTTGATCAGCCGCTGCCCGATCTAGAGTGAGGCTTCGGGGTTTAAACACGTCTCGTCGGTCTATTAGTGTCCATTCCAATGGGGGGATACTGTCGGAAGCACAAAACTGGCACCTTATCTGCTACAGCAGTTTTAACAAGATGTATGTTATAGTTTATCACATTGGTGTTTCACTTTGGGATTGTTTTTAAATGGCTGTAAGCCTATAGTTTTCAAATGCCCTTTTTAAGGACACCTGTTCTTACCTGTGCTGAACTGTATAACCCCCCCCCCCCCACACCCACAGTGATATTGACGTCGCCCAGCAGTTCACACTCAATCAGAGTCGGGTGGAAGAGATCACCATGCGGGAGGAAGTGGGCAACCTCAGTCTCCTACAAGATAATGACTTTGGTGAGATGATTACTGCGTCCCCTACAGCTCTGATTATTTTTGTAGGTTAGGTTGTATCTGTAACTCTTTGTTTCGCCTTTAGAGGGTGTGCGCACACATCAGAAGGGTTAAAATGGTTGATATGATTGCCCATCTACCTCAGGTGACTTCGGCATGGATGATCGTGAAATGATGATGCGTGAGGAGAGTGCGTTCGAGGTGGACATCATGAACGGACCCTCGACCTCCAGCCTACTGTTGGAGACGGATCCTGGGGCAGGCCATATGGCAGAAAAGTCCAACCACCTGGCCTACGATGACCAATACAAGGACGACTTTGGGGACAATCCCATGGAGAGCAGTGATGGAGGAATGCTGGGTAAGAGGCCAGCCTGCTCAGGAAAGATGTGGTGGCGATGGTTCTGGGAAAGGAGCTTTTCAAGGACATGTTTAACAGCTATATGAATGGGCTTTCTCTCCTGTTACCTCTCTTCACTAACGGCGTTTTTCCTTTTTCTTTAAAGTGGATAAACTCCTCAGCAATGAGGCTGGTGGGGGCATTTTCGACGACCCCCCGGTCCTCTCGGACAGCGCGATGCTTCCACAGGATCACGGTGGTGCTGACGACGAAGACGACTTTGATAACTTGTCTCGTAAGCTGGATCTCTTGAATCTCTTGCTTGCGTGTCTTTAGCTGTTGTGGGGGGGGGGGATGCTGTGAAGTATAAAGCCACTTTGACTGCCTTTCAGCTGGGGCCCCCGATAGCCCCAACTCAGGCCCTGTGGAGCCTGTTCCCGCCATGGCCGATCAGACGGAGCAGACCACCCTGGTGCCCAATGAAGAAGAGGCCTTTGCCCTGGAGCCCATCGATATCACTGGTGAGCATCTCTCTCTGTCGATCTGTCTGGGGAGGTGGGCAGCATATCGTACATGGGGGTTTAGTGCTGATTCGGCAGACAGCTTTGTTGCCGCACACCTCCTGGGTTGGGGCTTGAATCTTGCACGTGGTGGTTTAAAATTTCAAAATATCTGGACATATCGAGTCATCCAGCACCCTATAAAAAACTTCTTTAGTCAAGAGAAATCCGTCAAAGTTTGGCGAAACTGTATGCGGCTTATCGGTGAAAACGAAACAAACTTGCTGCAGGGGGTGGTGGTTGGCGGTGCAGATTATCATTTTATTTTTTTTAATCTATGTGATGGAGAAAGATTAATCAGTGGGCCGGATTTAATTATGATTTAAAAACATGTCTTAGATCAGCTAAAACGCTCTAAAGTGGTGATTCGCAAACTTACAGAAAGCCCTAGCCTCATATCACCATTATAAACTATTATTATATGTACCCCAGCCCTGTGGGATAGGCTCCTGATGCCGGTGTGACCCTGACCTGATTATGCAGTTATGAGATGTATGGAGAATGGTACATTTGTAAGATATCATTCACAGATGATGATGAGAGGTTTTAATGGAGGAGTGTTCCCCCAACAGTGAAAGAAACCAAGGCAAAGAGGAAGAGGAAGCTGATTGTGGACAGCGTTAAGGAGCTGGACAGCAAGACCATCCGCGCACAGCTCAGCGACTACTCTGACATCGTCACCACGCTGGACCTGGCCCCACCCACCAAAAAGCTCATGATGTGGAAGGAGACAGGGGGCGTGGAGAAGCTCTTCTCCCTGCCGGCACAGCCCCTGTGGAACAGCCGCCTGCTCAAGGTGATGAGCCCAGCTGGGCTCTGTCTCCTCAGTGAGGCACATGGACCTAGGCTTCTAGCCCAATCAGATTGCTGTATGTCCAGGCGCGGCCTGAAGGTTGTGTGTATCCTGGTGGTTGTGGGGTTAGGTCCTGCCCTGGCTCTTCCCACGTTTAGTTTCCTCCTACAGTCTGGAGCTGGGCTTTAGTATCAGTCTGGCTCCCATCCTCTTTGCTCTGATGCTTCTGTTGGGCTCTGTGGGCTTCATCCTGGCTGGATGGATGGTTGGGTGAGTAGCTGAGCACGTAGAGGGCCTTAAGACAGACTTGCTGTGCCCTGACAGATGTTTACACGCTGTCTGACCCCACTGGTGCCGGACGAGATGCGCAAGAAGAAGCGGGGTGGTGAGGCCGACAGCCTGGACGAGTTCCTGAAGGACCTGGAGAACCCAGAGGTTCCTCGCGAGGAGGTCCAGGCCCAGCAGAGGGATGTCATAGGTGGGACGCCGGCTCGTGTCCCCAATGCCGTGGGGTTTCAGTCAGGCTTTATGCACTAACCTTATAAACTTCATTTATCGTTAACAGTTTGTAGGGTGGGGGCAGTGGGTTAGGGCACTGTGCGTGTGATCAGAAGGTCGCTGGTTCAAATCTCCAGAGTGATTTCAACGTTTCAGTTATTTCAATGTCATGCTAGCTTTCTGTTTAGCTTTTAGTGCTTCAGTTAATGTGATGCTTCACTAACCACGTCGACCCTCCTCTGCCGTTTCCAGATCAGACCATCTTGGAGGAGCCCAGCATGCTGCAGGTGTCGGCCATGGAGGGCAGCAAGACCAGCCTGGAAGAAACGGTCATGGCCCCGCCCTCCGCGCAGCGAGGGGTCAAGCGCAAGTCCAAGGACACGGAGCCAGCCCTGCCTGTAAGAGGACATGCTGGGTCCAGCCTTTCTGTCGCCCTCCAACGGAGGCCCACGATTTAGCCCTCTAGTGATGAGACATACTGTGCCATTTCAGAATAGTCGGGTGCAGTGAAATCTCCAGCTCCACCCAAAGTATGCCGCCTGTCGTTGTCGTCCCGGCCGTGACGCCTGTCTCTCCTGCAGATGGGCGCCCAGGAGCAGCAGGCTGAGCGGCCCCCCTCGCAGAGGCTGGAGCTGACCCAGGTGGAGCTGCCCCCAGAGGAGAGCGCCAGCCTGAGCCAGCTCATCCCTGAGCTGGATCTGCTGGGAGGGAGAGGCAGGGAGAAGCAGAAGGATGATGAAGAGGAGGAGGAGGTGAGCCGCGGCGACGGGACGAGCGCACGCTCGCTCGCTCTCATACTGTTTATCTTGTTTATTGATGTCATTTCATAGTTTAAAATATCTACATCTGCCTGTTAACCACTTACTTCCTCAATACCCTGACCTGGGTATCTACATTGGTATTAAATATCTATCTTCTGTTATAACCTAGTTACTGTCTTAGTTTTTTTTGCTCGCGTATGAGGGTGTGTGTCATCATTATCGCTGTGTTTTGTAGGAGGAAGAAGCCCAGGGTGGAGACCAGGACCAGGAGGAAAGGAGGTGGAACAAGAGGACCCAGCAGATGCTTCACGGCCTTCAGGTAGGGCTCAGCAGCCGGGGGAGGGTCTGGGTCACAGCGATGAAGACCCAAGGTACCACAATGCGTACGGCTCAGATTCGTGTCACAAACATTCAGATATATATAAGGTGACACTTTCCTCGATGAACAGAGAAGAGCGTTTGTATCCAAGAAGGTGGTCTATGGTCTTAGCGTCATCCTGGATAAGTCTGCTCATGGTCTCCTGCTGCTCTTCCAGAGGGTTGTGGCTAAAACCGGAGCACAGTCCATCAGCCTGCTGGATCTGTGCAAGAACAACAACAAGAAGCAAGCGGCTGCCAAGTTCTACAGCTTCCTGGTGCTGAAGAAGCAGCAGGCGATTGACCTGACACAGAGCCAGCCCTACAGTGACATCGTGGCCACGCCTGGGCCACGTTTCCACATCATCTAGGGGACTCGGCACTGGGACACTTTTATCCTACCATATTTTATTGTATTTGACAGTGTTTAGTGCTTTTTGTCATTTTTAAGAATTTACGGGCATGTTTGTTATATATAAGAAATCGTTGTTCTTTACTGCCAAAAGGAAGTTTGTGCTGTCTTACCTTTTACACCATAATCAGAGGAGTGCTGCATAAAATTGGGCATTCATACATTTATTTTTTTAAGGGTCAACAACACTTTCTGAGGACTGCAAAAACATCTGAAAACACGGTCGTTGTTGTGTGTATGTTGGTTTTCCTTTCTGTTACAGCTCCAGTAAGACCATTGCGATCTGCCTTTTCTTCCCTAAAACATCAGGACAGAATATCTAAGGGGTGATCTAAAAGGTTACTGGGGGGAGAGACCCTAATTAGCATGGTCTATCCTACTAAATGACTCATAATGCCCCCCCCCCCTGCATTGTTTTATTTCACTTTTTTATATAAAACATTTTAAATGGTAAATTTCTATTGTTTGCACTTATCTGCCCTCTTTCTGTCTGATTTTTATGGACCTTTTTTAATTCTGTCTTACGACTGAAATCTTGAAATCAGGTGTTGAAGGGCATTCTTGGTGTTTGCCTCTACACTAAAAAAATAATGGGTTTTCAAAAAGACTGTAGATAATGTTACTGTTTAAAGTTGATATCCAGGTGTGTTTCTGTAGATTAAATCCTTCTAGTCAAGTTGGTATTACTTTTCTAAATAAACACATTGCTTAGAGTCCCTAGTTTATGCTATATTGGGTACTTTCATAATGTTTCACACCAGAAAATCTGCGGCTTTTTTGAGTGGATGCTTAGTCTGCCTTTGGTAGTTTCCATGAATTAACCGTAACCACTAACTGTTCCCATATAGCTAGCTACCTATGCAAAAATACACTCTCCTCCAAAATATGTTAATGATTGCCTGTTCATAAATTCAACACGATAAGAAGTATGTGTGAAAGTTGGGAAGACGGTAATTTAAAAAGCATAGGCCAAGTTATTTACAATGGAATATTAAAGCATATGCAGGGATCATTTATGCAAAGTGTAGCAAATGTAAACATAAGAGCTGAAGGAGACACATTGTAGTGATTTTTTTCCCCTAGCCTCGCTTCACTGACATGAATGAGCAGTGGCTTGTTAATGTTTAATGTGTCCATGGTGTCATCTGTGATCATGTGACCCCTGGTATAAAGCCTGACTGCTTGCTGCTGATTTGCTTCACGAGTTCCCCATTGGAAACACCTGCTGTATTTTTCGAGCCTGTCGAAAGGTAAGTGTCTGTTTTCTGAAATTTCCTAAGGCCGATTGGAATTGATGGTTTCCTTGGGTGAGACTGAATTAGGGAAAAGTGTAACTACAGATAATGCCGGGTTACAGATAACTGTGGCTGTTAAAGATTATTATACAAATATGAAATATTTTTCTTTTATTCAACATGTCCTTTTGGCGGGGGACGACAAAGTGACAGCTAACGATAGCAAAGATAGACTTTGGCCCGTGTGCATCATTCCAGGAAGTAGTGAGCCACTGGACCAAGCTAGGATCTGTTTCATTGGGAGTCATGAAGTGAATGTTTAGGCAAAAGGCCACAAGATCACATATTTAAACTGACCGCCGCTAAACATCCCCCCCCCCCCCCCCTTTTGAAAAGTCACACCAGGACGACATGGAAAAAACCCTCAGTGAAAGAGTGGAGCCCCCCCCACCATACAACCCTGCTGGATTCTCGAACCCTTACCCGGCTGGCCCAGAGCTCCAAAACAGCCAGGGGAAGGTGGCTGTGGTCTCTCCTGCTTGTGACTATGACAGCTTGGGCTGTGCGGCGGGTCCAATCCCTGCCAGTCCACCTTCATATTCTCAGAACCTGGAGGATATTAGCTGCTTCTCTGATGGGATCCTCCGGAGGGGTGAGAAGCTTCTGCTCCATCTTTTACACATACAAAAGAACATTGGTAATGGAGTTGTATTTTACGGTACATAAGCAGCTGGAGGATGTGTGCTTATCAAGGAATGGAGTGTGGGGTATTATATAAAACTCAGCGAAATGTGCTGTTCATTCAGGCAAACATTTTCTATTGTCATTGCATGAGAAATGTTAAATACTAATGTTCTTCAATCACAAAGTGATATATTCAAAAATCATCACTGTATCTGATAAAATTGCCACTGTTGTGTTTATAGGATTCAGGATGAAATTTCCTAATACTCTGTAAAGGTTTTTATTATACATTTAATTACTGAAGGCCTGGAAGGACACAGTGATATGTTTCACTTGGCTCATTTGGGCTGAAAAGAAATGACTGAAATCCACATTTAATTTGATTGTAATTTGAGTGAAATACTATATGTATATACACTCACCTAAAGGATTATTAGGAACACCATACTAATACGGTGTTTGACCCCCTTTCGCCTTCAGAACTGCCTTAATTCTACGTGGCA